TTATCCTCCAAGCAGGTTTGATTCTGGCATATTCCCTCTCCTTCTCCCCAAAGCAAAGTTTCTATAAAACTCTCTTCTCTGTGACAGCTAGGATTTCTAATTGGCTAATTTGTCTTATTTCCTGACAGGGTTTGTTGACCCCAGTGTTGTATTTGCTCTGCGGTCTGTAGGATAGGAAACTAACAAGACTCCTCTATTTGCAAATATGGAACTCTTGACATAAAAAAATAAATAAAAGAAAGAACCAGAATGTCAAAATAAAGCAGGAAATCACTTATTTTGACTCCTTCTACCATGACAAAGTCTGTCACTTTACGAAGACATACCTAAAAACAAGTAAGTCTGTTATACGAAAAAAAATGACTGCATAGTCATGAATGTTTAGAAGAGTAGCTTAATGGCCTGATAAATAACCTTAGGAGCACCAGACGCTTCAGGGAAGCCTCTACAAACAGAGCAGATTAGGAGGCCATTAAGAGACCTTTTGGGAGAGCTGGAAGCCATTCATTTCTGGGCAGAACAACCAGCATACAAGAAAATGGTGAGAAAATATCATGTTTTCCATGTAATGCAGCAAGGGTTGAATGCAAGCAAAGGCTCCAAACCATTGAATCTTCATTGAAGACTCTCCGCTCCCAGAAATACCTGCTGCTCCACTGCAGTGACTTTTAAAGAAAGCCATGGGAGGAATGAAAATAAATGAAGATTGGCATTAAATGAAGTTTGGACATGCAGCGAAGCAGAGCATTTAAGGAGCTTCCTATCCTTTGGAACCATTTCTGCTGTAAAGGCATTTAGCAGCACATTTTGGGCAAGTGTGTTCTAGCAGCTAAGAAGCATGTTGCATTCTCAAAAAGCACAGGTTTTTTTTAGAAGCAAACAGAATGCAAACTACATGTCTCCCAAAACTTGAAATGCATCTAGTATTCTCTCTTTCTCAGAGAGGCGAAAAGATCTCGGCAAGAGCCAGTTTACTGTAATGCTTTACAGAGGGACCATTTTGTTCCGGAAACAAGGCCTCCAGAGTAGCAGATGACAGCTATCATGTCATCTCCCAGTCTTCTTTTCTCCAAGCCAAAGATACCCAGTCCCTTAGTCCTTCCTCATAAGGCTTGGTTTCCACACCTTTGACCATTTGGACACTCAGCAGCTTGCCAATAACCTTCTTGAATTGTGTTGCCCAGAACTGGACACAGGGTTATTCCAGGTGAAATCTGACCAAAGCAGAATAGAGTGGGGCTATTACTTCCCTAGATCTGGACACTATACTTCCATTTATGCTGCCCAGAACTGCATTGAGGTTTTTGGCTGCTGCATCACACTTTTGACTCATGTTTAGCTTGTGGTCTACTAAGACCCACAGATCCTTTCCATCACATCAACTGCTTTCAAGCCAGGGATCACCCATCCTGTATTCGTGTGTTTCACCTTTCCTGCCTAGATGTAGTGCCTTGCATTTACATACCAAAACAACAGTAATATAT